GAGAGAGATGGAGAGAAGAGAAGAAAGGGAGAGGCGAGAAGGGGAATAGAACGGGGAGAGGAGGTTATTATGATGGTCATTCATAAATAATTATCTTAAGGATTGTCAACAATTCGACGTGACTAATTTCCCCACGTTCTCCCAACAACCACTGCTCTATCAGACAGAACATTGTGGAGCAGCTATCATCATGGTATTGCTGTGGAAAAGATAACATTATATTGCCAGATTTCCATATTGCTATTTGGCTTTGCAAGCATAACAAAGGAATGGTTGTTTGACAGGTAACTGCCAACAACCAGTCAAGAAATAAAACTAGTAAACAACTGTGAAACTAGCTAATAAAAACTGAGATTTGATCACTAAAACCCGGTATTAGCTACAAATGCCCCATTGTTAGGAAAAAATAGCTTGCAAGTTGGCTAACCTAGCTAGCTAGCAGCTAGCTAACATTTGTTTGACAGGTGAGTCAAACATATTTTTTCCTCCGTCTCGGAGATTTCACTCAGTTTTCAAAAACCCTGGTAAAAACATGGTACTTACTCTGTTTTTCTTTTCACCTTCTCTCGCTTTAGACTGTAAATGAAGTCCAGTAAACAACTTTTTAGAGGCGAGCAAGAACTTCTTGTGACTTTTCCTTGTCTCCTTTCCAGGAAATACTGGAGATTCTATGACTACAATTCCCATCAATCACCGGGACAAGCCAAACGATTACGCACGCACTTCCGAAGAAGATGCGCTGGTATTTCACCTCACCGCCAGATGGCGCTACTGTCCTGAAATCATATTGTTGAACGGGTCCTCGCTTCTCCCTTTACTTATTGCTGTAATCTATGAAAAGTGTCTAAATGCTGTGGCATTTAATTGTGTGATTTATGGTTGGTGTTTGGAGAGGGAGAGAGAATTAGACCCAACCAAATCATGAGAAAACAAAAAGAGAATTACTTGACAAATTGGAAAGAATTTACAAAAGAAACTCAGATCAAACTGGAATGCTATTTGGCCCTAAACAGAGAGTACACAGTGGCAGAATACCTGACCACTGTGACTGACCCAAAATTAAGGAAATGTTTGACTATGTACAAACTCAGTGAGCATAGCCTTGCAATTGAGAGAGACCACCGTAGACAGAACTGGCTCTCAAGAGAAGACGGGCTATGTGCACACTGCCCACAAAATTAGGTGGAAACTGAGCTGCACTTCCTAACGTCCAGTCGGTCCGTCCGGATCTTTGGAGGAACGTATCCAACGGCAGGCGAGCAGGATCCAGGCTCTCGGCAGCGCAATGGAGCGTGTGGTGAGTACATTGGAGCGATGGGAGAGAGGTGGCGTTTCTACACCTCCTCCAACCACACAACTCACCCGACCTCCAGCGACGGTCCCCTGCAGGGAGCACTTTAGCGTGTCGGTGCCCAGTCTGGGGCCGGCAACCAGTCCTACTACAGGGCTGGAATTTTCCTCTGCGTCGGTGCCCAGGCTGGGCACGGCATTTAGTCCTGCTCCAGAGATGGGGATGGATACAGGTCCGGTCAGCTGCTCCACTCCGGAGCCAGAGCAGTCCGCTCCACCGGTTTCCAGTCCAGCTCCTGTCAGCGGCTCCACTCTGGAGCCAGAGCATTCCGTTCCACCGGGGTCTAGTCCAGCTCCGGTCAGCGGTTCCACTCCGGAGCCAGAGCAGTCCGCTCCACCGGGGGCTAGTTCAGCTCCGGTCAGCGGCTCCACTTCAGACCCAGAAGTCAGCCCCTCTCCAGGGTCGGGGCCTCCCACACCAGGGTCCAGACAGGGCTTGGTGCATCGTGGGAGGAAGGAGAGGAGAAGCATCGCGCCGAGGTCCAGACCAGATCAGGGGTGCAACAGGGAGGCAGAGAGGGAGAGGTCGTCACGCCCCTGTCATGTCAGGTTTGTGCGGCCGGAGTCCGCACCTTTGGGGGGGGGGTACTGTCACGCCCTGACCTATAGAACTATAGTTTGTTGAGTCAGGGTGTGGAAATCTATGTTCGAAATTCTATGTTTATGTTCTGGTTTTTCTATTTCTATGTCTGGCCGGGTGTGATTCCCAATCAGAGACAGCTGTCGCTCGTTGTCTCTGATTGGGGATCATACTTAGGTAGCCCATTGCCTACTGTGTATTGTGGGATCTTGTTCCGTTTAGGCTTGTCTGTGTATAGCCGGAGGACTTCACGTTACGTTGTTTCTTGTTTTGTTGTATGTTTATTGTGTTAATAAACATGTACGCTTTTCACGCTGCACCTTGGTCTGACCCGTCTCTCAACGATCGTGACAATTTCATAGTTTTGATGTCTTCACAATTATTCTACAATGTAGAAAATAGTAAAAATAAAGAAAAACCCTTGAATGAGTAGGTGTTCTAAAACTTTTGACCGGCAGTGTATATACTGCCACACACACAGATATATACTGTCACACAGACACAGTCAAATGCAGAGAGAGAGCGAGAGAGTCATACAGTGCATTCGTAAAGGATTCAGACCCCTTGACTTTTTACACATTTTGTTACGTTACAGCCTTATTATAAAATTGATTCAAATGTTTTTTCCCCTCATCAATCTACATACAATACCCCATAATGACAAAGCAAAAACAGGTGTTTTGAAATTTGCATATTGTTTTTAATGGAAAAAACGTACATATCACATTTACATAAGTATTCAGACCCTTTACTCAGTACTTTGTTGAAGGACCTTTGGCAGCGATTACAGCCTCGAGTCTTCTTGGGTATGACGCTATAAGCTTGGCAAACTGTATTTGGGGAGTTTCTCCCATTCTTCTCTGCAGATCCTCTCAAGCTCTGTCAGGTTGGATGAGGAGCGTCGCTGCACAGCTATTTTCAGGTCTCTCCAGAGATGTTCGATCAGGTTCAAGTCTGGGCTCTGGCTGGGCCACTCAAGGACATTCAGAGACTTGTCCCAAAGCCACTCCTGCGTTGTCTTGGCTATGTGCTTAGGGTCGTTGTCCTGTTGGAAGGTGAACCTTCGCCCCAATCTGAGGTCCTTAGCACTCTGGAGAAGGTTTTCATCAAGGATCTCTCTGGACTTTGCTTTGTTCATCTTTCCCTCGATCCTGACTAGTCTCCCAGTCCCTGCCACTGAAAAACATCCCCACAGCATGATGCTGCCACCACCATGCTTCACCGTAGGGATGGTGCCAGGTTTCCTCCAGACATGACGCTTGGCATTCAGGTCAAAGAGTTCAATCTTGGTTTCATCAGACCAGAGAATCTTGTTTCTCGTGGTCTGAGAGTCCTTTAGGTGCCTTTTGGCAAACTCCAAGCGGGCTGTCACGTGCCTTTTACTGAGGAATGGCTTCCGTCTGGCCACTACCATAAAGACCTGATTGGTGGAGTGCTGCAGAGATGGTTGTCCTTCTGTAAGGTTCTCCGATCTCCACAGAGGAACTCTGGAGCTCTGTCAGAGTGACCATCGGGTTCTAGGTTTACCTCCCTGACCAAGGCCCTTCTCCCCCGATTGCTCAGTTTTTCCCGGCGGCCCTCAGGAACTGTTTGGGTGGTTTTCCAAAAAAGTCCCCTTTTTGGGGGGTCCAAAAGAAGAAAAAGGAAGAAAGGGGGGGAAAAAGGGGGAGAGAAGAGAGAAGAGAAAAGGGATTCCCAAGAAAAGAAGAAAAGATCTCTCTTTGCTCTCTCTCTCACCTTCTCTCTCTCCTTTTTTCCTCTTTTTCCCCCTTACTTTCCTAAACTCAACCGCTTTTTTTTTTTTCTCTCTCCTTTTTCTCTTTTTTCTCTCTCTCTCCTTTTCTTCTATCTCTCCCCCCTCTTTTTCTTTTCTCCTTTTTTTCTTTTTTCGTCCTCCTCCCTCCTCCTCCCCTCTCTCCGCCCGGGTTTCCCTTTGGGTTTTTTTTTTTTTTCCCCGGGGGGGGTTTGGGGCCCTTCCCCCTTTTTTCCCCATTTTCAAAATTTCCCCTTTACCTGAAAAAGTGTCCCGCGCAGGGGGAGGGGGAGGGTTTGGGGGAGGTGGGCTTTGGGCTTTAGGGGGGGGTTTGGGGGGCCCCTGGAAAATTTTTTGGGGGGGAAGGCCGAAAAACATAAAAAAGGGAAGGAAAAGAAAAAGGATATTAGGAGAAGGGGGGGGGAGGGGAATGGGTGGGGGAATTTTTTTGGGTTTTTGGGTTTTTCTTTTTCGTTTAGGGCCCTTTTCGTCTCTTTCCCCTGTCTTTCTATTTACTTCCCTTCTCTTCTTTTCCCCCTTTTCTTTCCCTTTCCGTTTTCTTCTTTCCACTGGTTTCCCTTTATGTTACCCCCTTTTTGTTGCGGGTTTACCCATTGTAATACCTTACGTTTGTGGCACAAACCCCTTTATGAACCCTCCCTCAGAGCCTAAAAAAACCAAGGATTAAAACGGCCCTCCCCCTTTCCCCTTTTCATGGATGTAACCTCCCTTTCGATATTGTTTTATGGGTTGTACTAGACTATAGTATTGATTGTAACATAAAATTTAGTTTACAACACCAATCACCCCAAACCCCCCCAAACACGCCAAAACAAAACACTCCCCCAAAACCCCCAAACCCCTGAGAAACCCGGGTGCTGGGGGCTTTGTTGGGCATGGCAAAATCAGGGGCAAAACCCTTGGGTTTTACAACAAGGGGGTTTTTTAGTAATAGGGGGCGCCCAAACTGGGGGGGGGAAATTTTTTTTTTTATAATTTTGAAACCGTTACGTCCATTGGGGCCCCCCCAAAAAAAGGGGCTTTTTAAAAAGGGAAAAATTTGGAAAAAACCCAGAAGAACGCAGGGACTTTTTCCAAAAAAGGGAACCCCCAGGGCAAAGTTTTGCCAAACCCGTGTTTGTTGTTTACTGGGGCGTGTTTGTAACCCGTGAATGTAAGTCCCCTTTTTTTATTTTCCCCCCTTAGTCCCCCCCAAAATTTTTTGGTGGGTGTGTGATTTTAGCGGGGAGAGAAGCCCGAGAAGAGAGAGATAAGAAGAAAAGGGTTACTTATAAATGGGAACCTCAATTAACTCTTCTCCTTTTCCCTCCTTTCCCCCCGCCCCTATCCCCTTTAATTTTTCCCCGGGTTTTCCCTCACCCTTCTTCCTAATTTTTAACCCCTTGGATGTTTAAAACAAAACAACCCACCCCCCCCTTTTTCTTCCCTTTCCTTTTGTAGTCGCCCTTTTTTCCCCCCCCCTCCTTTTAATTCACCCCCAAGCCTTTTGTGGTTTTTGTTTTCCCCCCTCCCCCCTTTTTTCCTCCCCCCTCCCCCCCCCCCCCCCCCCCCTTTTCCCCCTTTCCCCCCCCCCTCCCCTTGGGGCCCAACCTTTTTTTTTTTCCCCCCCCTTTCCTCTCCCCCGGTCCCCCCTCCCCCCCCCTTTTCCCCTCCCAGTCCCCCTCCCCCCTTTTCCCCTCCCCCATCCCCCCCTCCCCCTTTCCCTCCCCTTCCCCCCCCCGGGCCCCCTCCCCCCTTTCCTCTTCCCCCCTCCCCCCCCTTTCCCCCTTTCCCTCCCCCCCCCCAAAAAATCCCCCTCTCCCTCTCCCCTCTCCCAGCCCGGACGTCAATCATCCTGAAAGGGGGCCGGCTAATTGCCCAACGTTCTGTTCCCCCCTCCCGCCATGGCAACCCAGCTGTCAAATAGCAGGAGAGTGAGGAGGACGAGGCTGTCTGACATTCTCTCCTCTGGCTTCGTTAGGTCAACTGAAGTATCCCAGCAGGATCTTACGCAAGCACAAAGTACTTCACACACACAAGCATGCACCCAAAAAACACACACACACACACACAGAGAGAGAGTGATGTCTAATTGAGTCATTAGCTGAAGGCGTGGTCTCTGTCAGTCTGCTGTCTCTATTGGCAACAGTAGCTAAACAAAGACACCATGACTCAATCTGAACACACACGGCCCAAATGCCATTCTATTCCCTGTGAAGTGTACAAACCTTTTGGACCGAAGACGCCAGTTCCTACTTTCCCTGTGAAGTGTACAACTTTTGACCAGAACGCCATTCTATTCCCTGTGAAGTGTACAACTTTTGACCAGATTGCCATTCTATTCCCTATATAGTGCACTGCTTTTGACCAGGGCCTATAGGTCTCTGGTTAAAAGTAGTGCACTAGATAGGGAATAGGGTTCCATTTGGGACACACACTCCCTATATACAGCCTATATTCTGATGACAACCATCAGGACTGAAACGCAAATGTATTTGAACCTGTCCTTGGTCAAAAGTAGTGCACTATATTGGGAATAGGATGCTATTTCAGCCACAAACTCTGTGTTAATGAGACTAATAAGTTGTGCATTCATTTTGAGAACCGTAGGGACATGCAGCAGACCCTATAGGCTAGGATACTCACAACACCACAGGTACAGCAGACCCTATAGGCTAGGATATTCACAACACCACTGGTACAGCAGACCCTATAGGCTAGGATATTCACAACACCACTGGTACAGCAGACCCTATAGGCTAGGATATTCACAACACCACTGGTACAGCAGACCCTATAGGCTAGGATACTCACAACACCACTGGTACAGCAGACCCTATAGGCTAGGATACTCACAACACCACTGGTACAGCAGATCCTATAGGCTAGGATACTCACAACACCCACTGGTACCAGCAGACCCTATAGGCTAGGATACTCAAAACACCACTGGTACAGCAGATCCTATAGGCTAGATACTCACAACACCACTGGTCCCAGCAGACCCTATAGGCTAGGATACTCACAACACCACTGGTACAGCAGACCCTATAGCTAGGATACTCACAACACCACTGGTACATAGCAGATCCCTATAGGCTAGGATATTCACAACACACTGGTACAGCAGACCCTATAGGCTAGGATACTCACAACACCACTGGTACAGCAGACCCTATAGGCTAGGATACTCACAACACCACTGGTACAGCAGACCCTATAGGCTAGGATACTCACAACACCACTGGTACATGCAGCAGACCCTATAGGCTAGGATACTCACAACACCACTGGTACAGCAGATCCTATAGGCTAGGATACTCACAACACCACTGGTACAGCAGATCCTATAGGCTAGATACTCACAACACCACTGGTACAGCAGACCCTATAGGCTAGATACTCACAACACCATGGTACAGCAAGACCTATAGGCTAGGTTTCCTCACAACACCACTGTACACAGATCCTATAGGCTAGGATACTCACACACCACTGGTACAGCAGACCCTATAGGCTAGGATACCACAACACCACTGGTAACAGCAGATCATAGGCTAGGATACTCACACACCACTGGTACAGCGATCCTATAGGCTAGGATACTCACAACACCACTGGTACAGCAGACCTATAGGCTAGGATACTCTCAACACCACTGGTACAGCAGACCCTAAGGCTAGGAATCACAACACCACTGGTACAGCAGACCCTATAGGCTAGGATACTCACAACACCACTGGTACAGCAGATCCTATAGGCTAGGATACTCACAACACCACTGGTACAGCAGACCCTATAGGCTAGGATACTCACAACACCACTGGTACAGCAGATCCTATAGGCTAGGATACTCACAACACCACTGGTACAGCAGACCCTATAGGCTAGGATATTCACAACACCACTGGTACAGCAGACCCTATAGGCTAGGATACTCACAACACCACTGGTACAGCAGACCCTATAGGCTAGGATACTCACAACACCACTGGTACAGCAGATCCTATAGGCTAGGATACTCACAACACCACTGGTACAGCAGACCCTATAGGCTAGGATACTCACAACACCACTGGTACAGCAGACCCTATAGGCTAGGATATTCACAACACCACTGGTACAGCAGACCCTATAGGCTAGGATATTCACAACACCACTGGTACAGCAGATCCTATAGGCTAGGATATTCACAACACCACTGTTCTCAGAATAGCAGACAATAGAACAGAATAGTATAGTTACTTTATTTTTCCAGAAGGAACTCCAGATACTTATATAAACAGCAACATTCACACACAACAGATACATGATGTGTCATTTTGTAATCATTCAATAAGGAGGATTGGCCTACCCCTATGTGTGTTGTGTAAATTCAGACCTGTATATCCACTCTACATATTCCATGTTATTCAGTTGGTCCACTGTTTAGGGGAAATGCTATAGGCCTCATTAGCATAATGCCTAGCAACCACAGGGTCAAAGATGAGTGGAGGCTATGATTGGTGGAGAGGGGTGAGTGATGGTAATGATGATGATGGTCGGTGTGACACGGCTTTGTTTTGTGTTCATCATTAGCAGGCTAATCATGCACACGCTACGTCACGTATACAAAGCTGAGGAGACGTCAGCATGGTTCTCATCTAGCAAGAGGATAAATTACTGAACCATTTAGGCTACTATTCCAGTGTCCCAAATTGCAACACATTCCCTATAAAGTTCATTTATTTTGTCAGTATACTTTTTGTGAAAAAAGCCTAGGTCAAAAGTAATGCCCTATGTAGGGAATTCGCCATAGGGCTCTTTAAAAACAATAATAATAATAATAATAATAATAAAATATATATATATATTTTTTAAAACTTGTACCCCTTTTTCTCCCCAATTTCGTGATATACAATTGGTAGTTACAGTCTTGTCCCATCACTGCATCTTCTGTACAGACTCGGGAGAGGCTAAGGTCAAGAGCCATGCGTCCTCCGAAACACGACCCGAAACACGACCCTGCCAAGCCACACTGCTTCTTGACACACTGCTCGCTTAACCCTGAAGCCAGCCGCACCAATGTGTCGGAGGACACACCGTAAAACTAGCGACACCGTAAAAGTCAGCTTGCAGGTGCCCGGCCCGCCACAAGGAGTCGCTAGAGCGCGATGGAACGAGGAAATCCCAGCCGTCCAAACCCCTCCCCCTAATCAGGACAACGCTGGGCCAATTGTGCCCTCATGGGTCTCCCGGTCACGGCCGGGCTGTAACACAGCCTGGGATAGTGATGCCTTAGACCTCCGAAGCGTTCGGGAGGCTCCAGCCATAGGGCTCTTGTCAAAAGTAATGCCCAATGTAGGGAATAAGGTGCCATTTGACCAATTGTAGGCCTGTTGTAGCCTACCTTTATCAGTGTCTCTATGTGGGACTGGTGGGATCTGAACCCTGGTCTCCCGCTCAAGAAACCAACGTCTCAACCATTAGAACAAGCGGATAATTCCCTATTGGACCCGAGGGTGACACCGATTTTAAGTGACAGGCACTACCTCCTCAGGAGAGCGTGAGTCCAACACACCGCCTCTACATGCATGATTCTGTGTCTATAGTACATTTTACATTTTAGTCATTTAGCAGACACTCTTATCCAGAGCGACTTACAGTTAGTGAATATTTTTTTTATTTTTATACTGGCCCCCCGTGGGAATCAAACCCACAACACTGCCGTTGCAAATGCCAGGCTCTATCAACTGAGCTACATCCCTGCCGGCCATTCCCTCCCCTACCCTGGACCAATTGTGCGCCACCCATGAGTCTCCCGGTCGCGGCCGGCGGCGACAGAGGCTGGATTCGAACCAGGATCTCTAGTGGCACAGTTAGCACTGTGATGCAGTGCCTTAGACCACTGCGCCACTCAGGAGTATGTGTCTGTGATTGACTGTGTAACTGTGTGCTGACCTGAATCTTTATGGCACATGTGGTAGGGGCTCCCTGCTCTCCCCACAACCCCTGGTTCGCTGGATCAAGCCCGTCTCCATCTGCTACACTGGTGGCGGAGTGGGATCAGTGCGGCATCTTAAGGTTGTTTGCGAAATGAATAGAAAGAAAGCTCATTGAAACGTGAAGCCTTCATATGATTGTCTGGGGTGGGATAGTTAGGCTACATGAGAAGGCCCTCCAAGCCATCACAACAACAATAACACAACTGTCAACAACGCTGCTTGTTTCCATGGTGCTGCTGCTGATGAACACCATATGAGATCTGAGAGGAGCCCGCCCCCAGCGGTGAGGACGGGACTGCGTGCTCTGTGTGTGTGTGTGTGTGTGTGTGTTGGTAGTGGGAGAACTGGCCAGGCGAGGGAGCCGGATAAAGAAAGGAGAAGAAAAAACAGCCTAGAAGAGAAGGGAGCAAGCAACGCTATTCGACCAACGGATAGGACAAGGCCAGCCACGGCTGGTCGGACGGAGTGGAGTTTATTTAAAACATGTATTTTATTCCGTCGTTTTATTTGATCCTGTAGGCTACTAGCTACGCTACTTCTTCCCAGCCGTGCAGGTTATCCTGGGAAAAGAAGGCAACGAAAACGGACACGTTGGGGATTTATGTGGACTAGTAGCGGAGCTGTTGTAGGCTAGTGTGGCGCTACTCTTCTTTCTCATTGTTAGAGAAACACGGAGATACATGGTGGTTGGATTCCAAACTGGTTCGCCTACATTTCCCGTCGCCTTCTACGAGACAGCGTTTGGATATAGGCCGGATGATCATTTTGTCGAACGCAGGAGTAACATTTGTGACAAGCTAGTCTGCTAATTGTTGCCATTTTTCTCCCTCGCAGCGGCAGCACCGTTCGTTCTCCCTCCCCCTCTTTTGTCGTTCGCCAAGCTGACCATTTTAAAGGCAGCTCTACCTTTCCTTCCAGGCTTTATTTTTTTCCTTGTGGCCTCCTCGCTCCCTCTATCTGCCTCAACCGTGGAACTAGAACCCTGCACACGCGTTCGACTCAGAATACAAAAGAAATCAGGCGAATCTCGGCCGGGTTATGCCAAAGAAAATAGTGTTTTATTTGTTTACAAGTACTGTGTAGGCCCTGATCGACCGTTTACTTGTTTTTTGTTTTAGACAATTACATGTTTACAGCTTGCTTGCCGCTGTTGGTCATTTGAACGAGCAATGCAATTTTGTAGTTAGTTTTATTTCTTCCTTTGTTTATTGGCTACTTTGAAACACTGTGTTTCGAGTCAGGGACATTCAACTGTAAAAGACAACTAGGCTACCTCTGGAAAAAATATACTATTTTCTCCTCTTCCTCCCTTCATCCGACACTGTCACCTTTTCCCCCCCTAGTTTTGTCGCAAAAACGGCGAGATTTTTCTGAAAGGCATGGAGGACCAGGCCCGCATGATGTCGGGTCTCGTCGGACTGTCCGGACTGTCTCATGCCGACGTGGGGGACCATGACGCGGGGAGGAAGCAGCACGCCCTCGGCCAGCCGCAGCAGGACATCGGCGATATCCTCCAACAGATCATGGCCATCACGGACGAGAGTCTCGACGAGGCCCAGGCCAGGTAACACCTTCCCCGAGGAGAGAAGGAGGGAGAAAGCCGGGGGTGGGGAGAGGAGGGCTGGGGAACAGGGGAGAGATCCAGGTTGATGTTACCAACTCTTATATGATCCAGGATCATTATACGACATATTAGCCCTGAACTTATGCATTCATTATGTGGTGTAAAGGTTAAAACTGACCCTAGATCAGATGTAAAGGGCACCTCTTTTGCTTGGTGAATAGTAAGAAGCAGGGAACATGATAATAATAATAATATGCCATTTAGCAGACGCTTTTATCCAAAGCGACTTACAGTCATGTGTGCATACATTTTTGTGTATGGGTGGTCCCGGGGAATCGAACCCACTACCCTGGCGTTACAAGCGCCGTGCTCTACCAGCTGAGCTACAGAGGACCACATGGTTCCAGGGGAGAGGGGCCTGTATGATGACTTTCTGGCCATAATAACAACTGATTTCACATCGTCTCTTTGACACTCACACAGGCTACACACCAGTCCCAGTGCGCTGGTTATTCATTCAGGGGGGTTAATTAATAGTCTCTCATGTCGTTATGGTACCAGTCTGTGTATGTCTGTGCGCAGACAGACCTCGCTTCTATTTGCTATACTTTACTGCGCCGTGACGTTAACGTTGAGCTCCACGCGCGAGCCCATGTCATTTGCACCTGCCTTCTTTCGCCCCGTTTAAAAATCTACACTAGGCGATTACATTTTTATTAGCAGTATGCTTTCACTCTGTTTTCCTTCTGTCTCTCTCTGTTTCTATTTTCTCTTTCTGTTGTTATGCTATTCTCTCCGTTTTTATTCTCTCCATCCCTATCTCTCTCTGTTGTTATTCTCTCTCTCTCCTCCTCCTTTATATAAATACTCTTCACTTTGACGACCGCCCGGCGGACTAATTAACTGGAATGAGTTTGCTGTGGCCGCCTTGATTGATCGGTCATCACGTCATTAACATGGAATAATGACAAAGGATCTTACCGCGACTGGGAGAGGAGAGGGGGATGTCCCCGCATTTGAAATGGAGATGGCCGTTTGGGATCTGGTGGTGGTGACTGTCAGGTGGTTGAGGTCGCTAGTATGGTGGGGGCTGGAGGTGTTTTAGTCAGCGGTTGGTGTGAGTTTCCTTGTCCGTGAAGGGAAACGCGGATCGAATTTCACACCGCTTGACCCCCAGTCGCCGTAAATAGCCCGCTGGATGATGCTGCGGACCCCGGTGGCGTCTGTTTTACGTATCACAGTCCCGCAGGCCAGCTGGCGGCTTCACAGAAACATTTACATTATATGTGTTAATCTGTGATGGGATTATTACTTAATTTATATGCCTGTAAACCCTTTACTAAACTATAGAATTAACCACTGACATTAACATTGTTAATCTGTGATTTACTTTAGGCTATTTATAGCCCTACCTCTAACCATCACAACTATAGAATGAACAATTTACGTAAAGTGTTTATCTTCTATGGAGTGGTCTAATGTGTTTTTATTATTTAATTTATAGGACCATAGGTCTTACAAAACAAACAAATGGACTAAACTATAGAATTAAACGTCTAATTACCATCTTATTACAATATTATTAAATACATTGTTATTGCTGTCGCTGCATTGGGTGAATTGGCTCCTTCTAGGAGTGTGATGTATAGCCTACATATCTGCTACTGTTCTGCCAGTATCACCACACAGACAGACACACAGACACATTATCTCCCCCCTCTCCTCCAGTCCCTTCTGGGTGTTTGTCCTGTTCATTGTGAGAGGAGGGATGCAATCAATTCTCGGATAATACTGCACGAGAGAGCAGCTGTCCACACACACACACACTCTGTTACCAATATAGCTTGGCTCCAAAGGCCTATGGGATACCTACTGTATGGTTTTTGGAGCCTTCTTCCACTCAGTGAAGCCCCCATATTAAAGACTAGCTGTATATTACTCATTCATGGGTGTGTTATGGTGGTGTGTGTGGATGGTGTATCCATCCCTGGTCAGGTTGTGAAAGTAAGAGGCGATACAACGCTGGTTGTATCATCCATGGTCCAGTTGTGGACCAGTAGAGGCGGGATACAGGCGGGTGTATCATCCAGGTGTCAGTTGTGAGACAGTTAGGCGTATAGGCTGTAACGGCTTTACTCACCTGGTAGATTGACATGGACATTACAGCTGGTGTAATCCTGGGGTATTTGGCATTATAGGCCCATACCTGTTAATCCTCCACTTGTGACATTGTACGAGCTGGTTTATCTCCGTATGTGAGTGGCTAACTGTGTTTCCTTAGTTGTGACAGTATAGGCATAGGTCTTACAACCGTCAGATGGACAGTAAGCTGATAAACGGCTTATACCTCATTTTACAGTAGTAGTGATACAGGCTGTGTATATCTGGTCAGTTGCATTGGGATAAGTGGTTCCTCTAGGTAGTGTGAGTATAGCAAATACAGGCTAGTGTTCTCTGGCAGTTGTCACCAACAGCGAACCAGGACTTATCCCCCCTGTCCAGTTTTGGGTGTTTGTCTGTCATTGTGAGAGGAGGGATGCATCATCCTCGGTCATCTGTGACAGTAGAGCGAACAGCTGGTTACACACGTCAGTTGTTACCATTAATGCATGGCTACCAAGGCCTAGGGTACCTCCTGTCAGTTGTTTGGGACGCTTTGTATCACTCAGTGGTCCCATTTAAGAGACGATAGCTGTGTATCATCCTGGTCGTTGTGTAAGTATGGCGTAGGCTGGTGTATCATCCTGGTCAGTTGTGACAGTAGAGGCGATACAGGCTGGTGTATCATCCTGGTCAGTTGTGACAGTAGAGGCTATACAGGCTGGTGTATCATCCTGGTCAGTTGTGACAGTAGAGGCGATACAGGCTGGTGTATCATCCTGGTCAGTTGTGACAGTAGAGGCGATACAGGCTGGTGTATCATCCTGGTCAGTTGTGACAGTAGAGGCGATACAGGCTGGTGTATCATCCTGGTCAGTTGTGACAGTAGAGGCGATACAGGCTGGTGTATCCTCCTGGTCAGTTGTGACAGTAGAGGCGATACAGGCTGGTGTATCATCCTGGTCAGTTGTGACAGTAGCGGCGATACAGGCTGGTGTATCATCCTGGTCAGTTGTGACAGTAGAGGCGATACAGGCTGGTGTATCATCCTGGTCAGTTTCAACATCTATTCCGTGTTTATCTTTTCCGTCCTCTCTCGTCCCTGTCTGGTTTCTCTCCTATAGATGATGTGAGAAGCAGAGTAGGTGAGCAACGTTGAGCGGTGGGAAATCCCGCCCATCGCTCACGGACAAGCACCGCTCCGGCGCTCCACGGCTTTTCCAACCGCTCCGCCAAAAAAGAAACACTCCTCGCTCACAACAACAACAAAAAACTGCCGCTCCAAATTCGCTCCATTCATTAAAATCACCATTTAACCAACACCCATCTGTTTTAGTGACAATCTGGAGCTACCATTTGGTCGTGGACATTACATCACCTCACTCCCTCTCTTGCTCTCAGTCCTCCTCATCTTTGTAAGTCACCTTGATTTAGCACCTGTGTGTTTTATCAGTTTCTTTATGAGAATATTTAGCCAACTCCATGACCGTAGCTAAAGCAAGGGGCTATTAGCAGCACACAAGTAGACTACAGATGCATGCTGGGCCCGGGCATGCCCTGAGCTCGTGAAGTACACTGAGCGAAATTGGAGCGGCCCAGAAAGGCAGACGCTCCAGCCTTTGGGAAAGTCGCTCTGCGCTCCAGTCAAATTGGGCAGGCTCCGCTCCTCGCTCCGCTCCAGCTTCGCTCTGTTCACATACTCTGGTAAGAAGGAGCTCCTGGCCTGTTTTGTTTTCTCCTCACTTCTCTCTCTCCTTCTCTCCTCCTCTCTCCCTCGCTCCTTCTCTCTCCTCCTCCCTCCTCTCCTCTGTAGAGTATAGATTGGGACTATAAAGGCTAGGTAGGTGTTTTCAAGGGGGCAGCCTTAAAAATGGTCTGTCTACACACTAAACATGTAGACTTACAGGGTGGCCAATCTGCTTCCTGGTGGCCAATCTGCTTCCTGGTGGCCAGGAGTGTGTGGTTGTTTCTGCGCTGTACTTCAGCAATAAGGCCTGAGGAGGTGTGGTATATGGCCAATACGATGCAGCGCGGAGTGCCTGTATACAGCCCTCAGCCGTGGTATATTGGCCATATACCACACCTTGTTGCTATTATAAACTGGTTACCAACGTTGTTAGAACAGTAAAAATAAATGTTTTTTTGTAATACCCGTAGTATGAAAAAAAAAAAATGTATGAAAATGTATACACTCACTACTGTAAGTGGCTCTGGATAAGAGCTTCTGCTAAATGACTAAAATGTATACATTCTGATATACCACAGCTTTCAGCCAATCAGCATTCAGGGCTCGAACCACCCAGTTTATAATATAGTATAGAGGCCACACACACGCGCTCTGTGAAGGTCCTTACTGGTTGGTCATGATGACACCACACTGTCTGAGACTACTGTGATACACAGTAACTATACTAACTGGTTGGTCATGATGACACCACACTGTCTGAGACTACTGTGATACACAGTAACTATACTAACTGGTTGGTCATGATGACACCACACTGTCTGAGACTACTGTGATACACAGTAACTATTAATAACTGTGGGTCATGATGACACCACACTGTATGAGACAAGGTGATCACAGTAACTATTACTAACTGGTTGGTCATGATGACCCACAATGTCTGAGACACTGTGATACACAGTAACTATTACTAAATGGTTGGGCATGATGACACCACATGTCTGAGACTACGTTGATACACAGTAAAACTATACTAAATGGTTGGTATGATGAACCCACACTGCTGAGACTACTGTGATACACAGTAACTATACTAATTGGTTGGTCATGAGACACCACACTGTCTGAGGACTACTGTGATACACAGTAAACTATACTAACTGGTTGGTCATGATGACACCCCACTGTCTGAGACTACTGTGTACACAGTAACTTACTAACTGGTGTCATGATGGAACCACCACTGTATGAGACTACTGTGATACACGTAACTATACTAACTGGTGGCATGATGACACCACACTGTTGAGACTACTGTGATACACAGTAACTATACTACGTTGTCATGAATTACACCACACTGTCTGAGACTCTGTGATACACCGTGAACTATCCTAACTGGTTGGTCATGATGACAACCGACCTTCTGAGCCTACTGTGATACACAGTAACTATAAACTATACTAACTGTTTGGTCATGATGACACCACAACTGTCTCACTACTGTGATCACTTACTATACTAACTGTGTTGTCATGAATGACACCCATCACTGTCGAGACTACTGTGATACACAGGACTATACTACTGGTTGTTCATGATGACACCACACTGGTCTGAGACTAACTTTGAGAAGGTTGGGTAATCACACCAGTAAAAAAATATGTAAGAAACTGGGTTGGTCATGGATGATACAACACTGTCGGAGACTATGATACACAGAAAAAACTTACTAAAAACTGGGTTGGTCATATGGACTACCACACTGTATGAGGACTACGTGCACACAGTAACATTACTAACTGGTTGGTCATGATAAACCACATGTCTGAGCACGCCCCCACAAACTGATATACAACGGGCGGACTAAAAAAAGGAAGATAAAGATCGATATAGCGTTAGACCTTTAAATGGTGGTCGAGCCATGTCCAACGGTGAGGCGAGAAAAAGAAAAACATGAGGGTAGATTGACGTATTAGACAAGACCCACCGCTGGTAACGGCACCAACATAAATGTCTAGCGGACCCCGCGATTTCGCTTAGACTTTCACTAGCCACCAGGACAACGACACAATTGAGGGCCCACGTCCGCAAGAGTCGCTGGGAACGTTGAGTGCAGAGTAACAAGACAGCACGGTGGATGGGAGGGGAGCATAGACACCGTGTATGTCTAAGTGGATATAAATTCCCACCACGATCCCGGTCGCACTTACGCACCCCCATCTCGAGCTTTCTCCAGGAAAATTAATTTCGAGACAAAATCACTGGGAGCGCCGTCCTGGAGGTTCGCAATAAAGAACCCACGGGGGAGTGGGAAAGCCTATCTGGAGCACAATCAATCCACTAAATGCACATGCCCGGATGGGGACGACAGAAGCTGGTTTCTATTTCGTACACAAACATGATCTATTTACTAACTGGTTGGTCATGATGACACCACACTGTCGAGACACTTGATACACCGTACCGATAATAACTGGTGGGTCATGATGGACACCACACTGCTGAGCATACTGTGATACACAGTAACTATTACTAACTGGTTGGTTCATGGATGATACCACACGTATGGGACTCGATTGAGTACAAAGGACACACATAGAACGGGCTTTGGTCCATGATTGCTACCAACCACGGTTAAGACTTACGGTGAACACAAGTAACTATACTAACTGGTTTGGTCATGATGACCAACAACACTGTCTTGAGATACTGTGATACACAGTAAAAACTTACTAACTGGTTGGTCATGATGACAACCAACACTGTCTGAGGACTACTGTGATACCACAGAACTATACTAACTGGGTTGGTCATGATACACCACCCACTGTCTGAGAATTAAGGGGATGAACAAGGAAAGGATAATAAAATGGTTGGTAATGAGGGGACAACCAACAAGTCTGAGGACTAAGGTGATACACAGGAACTAGATAACTTGGTTGGTCATGATTGCTACCCCACACTGTATAAGCACTACGTGATACACCAGTACACATAATAAAGGTTGGTCATGATGACCCCACACTGTCTGGAGACTACTGTGGGATAACAGTAACAGGATGCCGAATGATTAAAGAGTGGGGCGGGGGATGGTGTTTAACGGGTAGCTGGGAAAATAAAAGAGGTCCAGGAAGGGAAGACGGGGTGGCAAAAAAAGCGGACTAAAAAATGATATAAATGGGGGGTAAGGATGGAACCACACCAACACAAAACGGTGATAATACTGTGATGGCCGACAACAATAGGTGTGTGGGATGGGTATGGCTCTGTTTTTAAAGGGTGTTTGATTAAATATTGTTATTCTGTAATTAAGCCTCTGGTAAGATCTCGCTCTCTCTCTCTCTCTCTCTCTCTCTCTCTCTCTCAGTTAAAGAAAATAATGTCAGCAGGAATTCCCTCCAGAATGTGTTTGTGTGTGTTGAGAAGGTGCCACTTTAACACCTGTTCAGGGGGAAGATTGACCCAGCGGGATACTATATAGTTTTGGTTCTGGAGAGGAGAGAAGGGAATGAGCAGAGAGAAGAGTAGAGATGAGAGATGGAGAGATGAGCGAGCGAGAGAGCGAGAGAGAGAGAGAGAAGAGAGGCGAGAGAGAGAGACGGGGGAGGGGGAAGGAGATGAGGAGAGAGAGACGGCATCGAGAGAGAGGGAAGAAAGAGAGAGAGACGGAAGGAGAGAAGAGAGAGAGGAAGAGAGATAGGAAGGAGAAGTAGAGAGAGAGAGAGAGAGCGGAAGAGAAGAAAATAGAGAGACAAGAGAGATTAGACGAGGAAGAGTAGAAAAAAAGAGAGATGTGAGAGAAGAGGCCTCTCCTCCCCCTCTCTTCTTCTCTCTCTGCCTCTCCTCCCCCCTCTCTTCTCTCTCTGCCTCTCCTCCCCCCTCTCTTCTCTCTTTCCTCTCCTCCCCCTCTCTTCTCTCTCTGCATCTCCCTCCCCCCTCTCTCTTCTCTCTCTGCCTCTCCTCCCCCCTCTCTTCTCTCTCCCCACAGGAAACATGCGTTAAACTGCCACAGAATGAAGCCCGCCCTCTTCAGTGTGCTCTGTGAGATAAAAGAGAAGACAGGTGAGCCAGACAATCAGCTCTGACTTCCTCTATGATTGGCCAATCCCATTCTCTGTTCTACCGCTGGTGTCTTCAGTTACATTCAGAAATGTTTTGAACGTTGCAGATAGAAATGTGTAGAGCTTTTTTTCCAACCCAACAGAGCATTATAACCACTTCTACACTATACATTTATATCTGACTCTTGTCTTGGGACTGGTCTGTCGTGTTTGGTTGACTCTTTCTGCTATTTCTCCATGGGGTTGACGTTGTTTACATGGTATAGCTCCGTTACAGGGTTTCCCTAAGCACTGCTCCGGAGTCAGTCTTCCCTAGCCCTATCAGGAACAGCCATACGACGGCATTGAATGAAACTGTCTCTGGAACTGGTCTTAGTGGTTTGCGTGCGCTTGTGTGTATCTGCATGAGGCATGAGCGGGACTATCGTCTTTCCATTTAATTTCACACCCTCCTCTGTCCTCCTCGCTTTTTAATGTCACTTTTTTCATTCACGTGTCTCTCGCTCCCTCTCCCCCTCTTCTCGTGATGGAATACATTATGAGAGGCATCCTCTGCTGGCTGCCATGGCGATATGTCAATCACCCGGCGTTGCTCACTTCAGATTGGTACAGAGGGGAAGGGGGAGGCCCGAGGCAGAGTGGGGGTGATGGTTGCCAAGGCAACTAGCTGTCTTATTTACCTAATGTCATTCACTTTGATTTTCACATTTGTACTCTGTGTCCAGAGAGAGAGAGAGAGGAGGGGGGAGAGAGGGAGGAGGGAGGGGGCAGAGAGAGAGGGAGGAGGCGGGGAGAGAGAGGGAGGAGGGGGAAGAGAGAGAGAGAGGGGGGGGGGGGGAAGAGGGGAGGAGGGCGGGAGGAGAGGAGGAGGGGGGGAGGGAGAGAGGGGGGGGAGAGAGAGGAGGGGGGGAGGATTGAGAGAGTAGGGAGGGGAAGGTGTAGATCGAGGTAATGATAGTGTTAGTGGGGGATATTCTCAGTGTAGTCATTAACATCTGAACACATGCCAGGTACTCTCCATTTCTGCTCTCTTGTTTCTTACACGCGCAATATGGGGCACGAGCAGGTGAAAGGAGGAGAAGAAGTTCCGGGATCACATCGAGAGACCGCGGACCCGCGGATGAGCTTCTCATTATGTTGGAAGGAGGGGAGGGGAAGAGAGAGGAGTCACGCCAATGAGCGAACGCTAAGAGAGGCAGCGAGGAGACACAGGATTGAGAGAGGAACAGAAGTGAGTAAGAAAAAAAGTGAAATAAGTGGAAGGGGGAAAGAGGTGGGGCATAGGGAAGGGGGGAAGAGATAGATAGGGGGGGTGGATAGGAGGGGCTAGATGAGAGAGCGACGTATAGCGAGAGTATAGACGATTGAGATCTAGTAGATAGCTAGAGCGAGCTCTCTATACGTGATATAGTCCGCGATCTTTATCTTTTGTCGTCTCTCTTTCTCTCCTCTCTCCCTCTCTCTCTCTCCATTGAGTTCCTTTCCTTCCTCGCTGGTCCCAAGTTTAGGAACTAGTATAAATAACCATTCCCATGGGGGGGGGGGGGGGGGGGGGGGACAGAGACTGTCTAAGAACAAACACAGGGTACTTCTCCTCTCTCTCTCGCTCGCTCCTCTCTCTCTCTCTCTATGTCTCATTTATCTCTCTCTGTTATTCAATAGGTTTCCTGTTTTTCCTTTTCTATCCGTCTCTGTCTGTTCTCTCATTCTGTCACGAGAGTGAGAGAGAGACCAAAAGAAGAAATGAAGGGGGAGGAGCATAGACCATGGGAAAAGGGGGCAAAATGAACACGCGGAAAAGACGAGCGCGTTTAGGGGCGGTGTAGGAGTGGAGACCGAGATAAAGAGAATGGGACAGGGAGAAGGAGGAAATCAGGGAGGTGAAAGGTGGAAAGAAAAGATAATGGGAAAAAGAGGGAGGGGGTAGGGGAGAGAGGAAAAAAGAGATATGGAGAGAAGGGAGAAAAATGGAAAGGGGAAATAAAAGAAAATGGACACAGAGGGAGGGTTAGTGGAGAGAGAACAGAGAATGGAGAGAAGGAGAACATGGATAAAGGGGAAATAAAAGAAAATGGACAGAGAGGGAGGGTTAGTGGAGAGAGAACAGAGAATGGAGAGAAGGAGAAAATGGGTAAAGGGGAAATAAAAGAAAATGGACAGAGAGGGAGGGTTAGTGGAGAGAGAACAGAGAATGGAGAGAAGGAGAAAATGGGTAAAGGGGAAATAAAAGAAAATGGACAGAGCGAGATGGTTAGTGGAGAGAGAACAGAGAATGGAGAGAAGGAGAAAATGGGTAAAGGGGAAATAAAAGAAAATGGACAGAGAGGGAGGGAGGGAGAGAAAGCGACAGATTGATTGATGAGATGGAGGGAGAGTCAGTAATGACTGTGTCTGTGGATTGGCAGACTGCTGATATGCCCCAGACCCCTGTCAGCCTGGCCTCCTCCCCACCAACACTCACTCACTGGGAGGAGCCCTCACCCGGTGCCCTGGCTTCGGCCTACACCGGGTGGGCCCTGGTGGTATCTGGTAATAGCCTACTCTGCTGGATCACAGTGGCATGAAGCTGGTTTATAGAAAAGTAATACAGTGTAGTTTATTAACTCAGCATGTCTGTGAACAGGAGTGTGTGTGTGTTGTACAGTGGCAGCCTCCGAGAGGTAGAAATGTGTGTGTGAATGTGTTCGCACAGTATGGGGTGCCTGAGACAGACGTGTGTGTCTGAAACATAGATGTGTGTGTGTGTGTGTGGTGGGCAGTCTGGGAGGCTGGCCCATAATCCAGACTAATTAAGGATTAATTAAAAATTAATGGGACCTCGGCGACCACAACCGAAGGAGGCGAGAGGGAAGAGAGGGCGAGAGGAGAGAGAACCGAAAGAGATTAGCGCGGACCTCGAGAGAGAGAGAGGACGGAGAGAGAGAGGAGAGAGCGAGAGCGCGAGCGAGCGCGGGGTGACGAGAGAGAGAGAGAGAGAACGAGAGAGAGAGGTGAAGAGGAGAGAGAGATGAGAGGGCAGCTAAGACCGGAGAGTACAAGAACGAAGAGCAGTCAGAGTACGGTCGTTGCTGGGGTCTTCTGTGGCCCTTCTTTTTATTAGGAAGAGAGAGAGGGGATGAGATGGAGAGAGAGGGGAAGAGGCGGAGAGGAAGTAGAGAGCGAATAAGAAGAGAGAAGAAGAAGAGAGAGGGAAGTAGAAGAGAGAGAGAAAGAGATCGAGAGAGAGGACGCGAGCTAGATGACGAGAAAAAGACGATAGAAAAAGAGAAAGAGGGCGAGAGAGAGAGACGATATAGTCTATCGGTAGCGAGAAAATATACGATATAGAGGAGAGTATACAAAGAGCGTGAAAGCTGGATATAGAGTGCGATGCGAGAGTCTAGGGAGAGGGCTAGGGTCTAGCTCGTGCGAGGGACGTCTAGATCTATCGTGATTCTCAGCATGATACCATCTCCCTCAATATATTTATTTCTTTACTATCTATCTTTATCTCGCTCTCTATCGTTATCTCTCTCGCTCTTTCTCTCCTTCTCCTTTCTCTCTCTCTCTCCTCTCTCTCTCTCTCTACTATCTTCGCTCTTTTTGCATGTTTTTCTCTCCTTTTTCCTTCTTGCTTTTTGTGAACACACTGATCTGCATGTAGACTACAGGTTGATCTCTCTTCCTCTCCCCCCTCTCCCTCTATCTATCCCTCTCATCACATTCATCCTACATCCATTTCTCTGTCTCAGCAACACACACAGTATGTTAGTATTATCATCCCTCTCTTCTCTCTCTCCTTTTCTCATCCTGAGTATGAGCGGAGTGGGATATGATGATAAAGATGTGAATGATCGAGTGACAGGCGTTAAGAGAGGTAGATGGAGGGATGGAAAGAGGGAAGGGATTGAAGGAGAGGAGGGAAAGGATGGAAGGAGGGAGGGGAGGGGAAGGATGGAAGGAGGGAAGGGAGGGGAGGAGAGGATTTCTGTGTAAACTCTAATCTCAGTTATTCTTCCCTCCTTCCACTCTCCCAAGGAAACGGGAGATCCTCCTGTCTGTTAAGTTGAGTCATGGACACACACAACCAGAGACCCACACACGCCCACCGAGGAACACCGCTGATAAAGCATATCACACCTCACTGCCATTGGCACTATTGTTGCAAAAAACACACATACTACACTGACATCAAATCAGTGCAGACGTTACCGTACTTGCTATTACACATGCCAAAGTTGTGGTGTGTGTGCGTGCCGTGTGTGTGAGTTAATGTACAGGTGTTATTTGGATGAGTTGTTGGATTATATTAATCAGTTAATCTGTCAAAGCTGTGGGTGGGGTAAGGGCGTGTGACGATTGACATTTTGAGTACCGTTTATTGTATGCGATGGCCACGTATGTCATAGTTGTTATTTGTTTGTGAAATGTTTTGGGTCTTGTTATTGCATCCTAATGCAGCGTTAACCAATGAGCCCCAAACATGCATCATAATGCAAGGCTTTAACATGAGATCAACATTGCTAATAATGCAGCTTCAACAATGAGCTCCAACATTGCATCATAATGCAGGCTTCAACATGAGCTCCAAAACATGCATCATAGCAGCTTCAACAGAGATCCAACATGCATCATTAATGCAGTGTACCATGAGCTCCAACATGCACATATGCACTTTAACAATGAGCTCCAAATGCATCATAATGCAGCTTTAAACAATGGCTCCAACATTGCATCATAAACACAACCACAGTTTGGTGTCTCAAACTAATTAAAAATCCAAAACATTGTTGATGTTACTGTGTTTTCATATTGTTGGTGTAAGTCCAAGAGCAGTGTGTGTGTGTGTGTGTGTTGTGTGAATGTTTTGGGTTGTTAGGGAAAGATGGATGGGAGTTTGATATTTTGTGCCTAATTAGAGACAACATGAGCATGATGAGAGCCAGGCTCGACTAGTGACATTCTCCGAGCTGATGTAGAAGACTTACAGGTCACATCACAGGCCGCGGGCCAGAACGGATTACCAGGACGTGTACTCCGAGCATGTGCTGACCAACTGGCAAGTGTCTTCACTGACATTTTCAACATGTCCCTGACTGAGTCTGTAATACCAACATGTTTCAAGCAGACCACCATAGTCCCCGTGCCCAAGGACTCTAAGATAACCTGCCTAAATGACTACCGACCCGTAGCACTGAGTTCTGTAGCCATGAAGTGCTTTGAAAGGCTGGTCATGGCTCACATCAACACCATTATCCCAGAAACCCTAGACCCACTCCAATTTGCCTACCGCCCCAACAGATCCACAGATGATGCAATCTCTATTGCACTCCACACTGCCCTTTCCCACCTGGACAAGAGGAACACCTTCAGTGAGGGAAAAAAGTATTTGATCCCCTGCTGATTTTGTACGTTTGCCCACTGACAAAGAAATGATCAGTCTATAATGTTAATGGTAGGTTTATTTGAACAGTGAGAGACAGAATAACAACAAAATAATCCAGAAAAACTCATGTCAAAAATGTTATAAATTGATTTGCATTTTAATGAGGGAAGTATTTGACCCCCTCTCAATCAGAAAGATTTCTGGCTCCCAGGTGTCTTTTATACAGGTAACGAGCTGAGATTAGGAGCACACTCTTAAAGGGAGTGCTCCTAATCTCAGTTTGTTACCTTTATAAAAGACACCTGTCCACAGAAGCAATCAATCAGATTCCAAACTCTCCACCATGGCCAAGACCAAAGAGCTCTCCAAGGATGTCAGGGGACAAGATTGTAGACCTAAACAAGGCTGGAAGAGCTACAAGATCATCGCCAAGCAGCTTGGTGACAAGGTGACAACAGTTGGTGCGATTTATTCGCAAATGGAAGAAACACTAAAGAACTGTCAATCTCCCTCGGCCTGGGGCTCCATGCAAAATCTCACCTCGTGGAGTTGC